CCACCAACCTCCCCCAGGGAGACCGATAAGTCCTAAAATAATGTGACAGAATGCTGTCCTTGGAAGGCTACACACAAAGGTATGGGAATGCAGCGGATGGTCCCAGGGGTGATGCTGCCTTTACCTTAACCAACACTTTCTTCTTATCCATGGCGCGGACTACTTCCCCCACATAGGAGCCCTGCTCCTGCAACAGCTGTAGCTCCTCCCGCAATAGGCGAACTGGATGGGAAACAGACATAGTGGTCACCCAGCTTGTTTGGTGTTCCCTCCCCGATAATTCAATACCCAGGAACTAAGCACATTTGGAAGGGAAAGCTACAAAAAGAAAATAAAAATTCTATGTAAGGGGATTGCTATGGGGCTTGGAAAGAGATGTGCATGTGATTAACTATATACCATTGCAAGGCATATCCATGGACTGGGAGAAAACAAAAGCACCAATGTGAAGGTAATTCAGGGAGATCTGAACAGTCAGAAGTCAGACCAACTGCCCACAGCCAACCTTCCCTCTTCCCTTCCCCCCTCACCTTTTGCATTAAGCTCATTTCTCTGTGCCTGCAACCTCCGGAGATTTTGGCTCTTATCATTCACAATCAGCTGTGGAGAAAAGAAGTTTCAAAAGGCAGAAAAAAGTAGGAGGTTAAGATCTTGGTCAAGACCCTCAGGCTGGTATGAACCGAGTGAGGGAAGAGCACAGGCACCTGCAGGTTTCAGATTCACCATGATGCTAATGGCCTTGGCCTGTCCTCCAGCAGCCCCTCTGATCAAAAAAAGCTACTTGTCTAACACTGAACCAGGAAGAACAAACCCTAACGGGGCAACAGTACAACTGGCTCATGTAGACAATTTCTTGCAGGGTGGCATATCAACATGCTCCAGTGGGAAGATCTTTGAGTCAGAAGCCTAAGTTCTAGCCCTCCTGCTGCCAATTAACTGCTAGGTAGAGCCATTTAAAACATCTAGTTCTGTTACCAACTGCAAGTGGGCATAGCATCACTACACCATGCCTCTTTTCAGGACTGTTGTATGAAATCATAAGTGCATTTCAAAAATGAAACCCATATACAATACCTGCAAATGTACCTGGAGTTTAGAAACTTTCCCTATGGCTTTCCTCCATCCAATGCGTATTCGTTATTTTCCTTATTTCTGTGGTCCCCGCTCCCTCTTTAGGCAAGAGCACTGTGTTGCCAATTCCTTTTCGTTCAGTCCCCAGGTGTCGGCATTGTCCAGACTCAATTCTGTCTCCCCTTGCACTCACTCTACCCCAAACCCCATCTGATAAACCTCAGCTCCTGAGCCTGTGTCCTCCCTTTTATGTGAAATCCTCTCCATCAGGCGTCTACCCAAAGGAATGGCTTTCTCTGTTTGACTCTGGAAGATGTGTAACAAACTATTCTCCCACTGGCCCCAGTGGGATTGTATGGATTGTTGAAATTCCATCAACCATTCATCCCCCTGCCGGTTCCCTTTGTCCCTCTGGAGCCCGTCTCACCTGGAGTTCTTCAATCTTGGACAGATAATATTGGCGGAGTCCACTGCCTGCCTTCCCCTCTTCCAGCTCCATCTGAAGACACAGTGTAATTATTAAATAACAGGCTACACAGCCAAGCCACTTCCAGCCTGGACAGAGGCTTCAGATTTGGGTTCTAATCTCTTCCTGCATTTCTTCAGAGCCCTCCTGACCCCATGACTAAACTAAAAGCAGAATGCGAATGCCGCCTCCCTCATAGGAACCAGAACGACACAGAGACGACAGACACGCACGGAGCGCTTTGTCCCGAGCCCGGCGCTTTACCGACCCGGGTGCTATTACCACAGGCGGAGCCGGGAGGGAGGACGCGTTTCCTGTCTCCTGCGACTCGCAGACGGGCCCGTTCCCGCTCCCATCGCTCATCTCACTCCGCCTCCGCCGTGTCTTCTCTCCCGGCCCGGCCCTGACCCCCCGGCGGCTGCGCTGACACAGCACATCCGGTCCCAGGCAGGGCCCGATCTGGATTGGACCACCCACCCCCGACCCACCGATCTCTTGCCCCAGTCGGCGGCCCACCTCGGATCACTCCTGCTCCGCAGCCAGCCCCGGCCCCCGCCCAGCCGCCGCCGCCGCCGCCGCCGCCACATACCTGCTCAGGCCCATCAACCGCCATCTTTCTTCTGTAGTGGAGATCGCCGGCATCCCAGCCGCCTCGGCGCGCAGGCGCAGAAGCAAGGACTCGGAGCCGGAAACGGGGCAGAGAGTGCTTCCGGGTCAATGGGCCGGGTGCGCGGGGGAATAACAAATAACAAGGGCCCTGAGGGACCGGAGGTTGGAAGGGCACAGAACTCCTAAATGTCTCTAGAAACTCGGTTTTAGTTCACGTGGTCTACTCTCTTGGTCCCAACCTACAGTTTATATAAAACCTGGCGACAGAGTAAAATACTTTTTGTGGCCACGCTCCAAGTGACAGAAAACGTGGAGCCGGGGACGCGTGCTACGCAAGCGGAAGCGGAAGTACGTATCTGCCTCCATGTGCTGCTCCTGGAGTTGTGGAAAGCGCTTTGGCAGCGAGTGATGTGGAGCAAGGCGCTGAGTGTGGTTGCTACGGCGAGCGGAGTCTAGCGCTCCGGGAAGAGACGTCCGGTTTCTCCTTTCTCCCCAGGTTGAGTGACACTGCCCCGTCCCACCATGGGCAAGAAGGGCAAAGTCGGGAAGAGCCGGCGGGACAAGTTCTATCACTTGGCCAAGGAGACAGGTGAGCCACAGTCGCGCCTTCCGCGAGCTAGACGGGCGACTTGTCAGGTTCGCCCCCTTTTCCGAACATTGAGTTTTTCTCGCAAAAGAGACAGTGGGTTGTGAGGCCGCAGAAATCCCGCCGGGAAAGCACCTCGTGGACTTGATTTTGTTGACGCCCCCAGGTTATCGTTCCCGCTCTGCCTTCAAGCTGATTCAGCTGAACCGTCGCTTTCAATTCCTGCAGAAAGCCCGAGCCTTGCTGGACCTGTGTGCGGCGCCGGGGGGATGGTGCGTAACTCCCGCACCTGTCACTCCTGGCGGCTGGTTTCTGGGTTCCACCCGGGCTGGGATGACTGAGAGTTGCACTGGGGGAAGGGAGGGGGATACAGTAATACCAGCCTCAGTTTCTTACTCCCCAGAACGGGCACTGCAGAGGTTTGGAACGTGTACACAGGACGTGCTCGGGCCACTGCACTTGGCAGGGCTCCTCCTAACACGAAGGAGGGTTTATATTGTCAAGGATTGGGAAGGAATAGTCCTGGGTATTTTAATCTTTATTCTTTCGTAGGCTGCAGGTGGCTGCCAAGTTTATGCCTGTATCAAGTCTTATTGTGGGTGAGTGACAGTGGTTCAGTGGTGTTTTAGGGGTGGGAGTACAAGGTGTTGTGCTCTACGTTTCCTTTCTTCATGCTTGAGGCAACCTTTTGGAATACTCTGACCTGACTTCTTCCAGGGGTGGATCTGGTACCAATCAAGCCTCTTCCCAATGTGGTGACACTCCAAGAGGACATCACAACGGAACGCTGTAGGCAGGTGATAAGAATCTCTCTCTTCCTGTCCCCTTTATATGCAAACATCCACCTCTGTCCTCTTCTCACCCAAATTTTCTGAAGGCGAGACTTTTCATGTTTACTGTGCCTTGGGCAGTGTTTGCATGATGTCTGTAAGCCTGGGATATGCCTCATCCACTCCAGCCTTTATTTGGTCAGGAATGAGGTGTTTGAAATTGGAAGAAGTGCGGAGATTTCAGTGACGTTATTTCCAGGAAGGTTCACTAGTATTCTTTCCTTTTTTTTTTTTTTTTTAAATTTCAGAGAGAAAGGGAGAGGGAAAGAGAGATAGAAACATCAATGGTGAGGGAGAATTATTGATCGGCTGCCTCCCACACACCCCACATGGGGGATCGAGCCCGCAATCTGGGCATGTGCCCTGACGGGGAATTGAACTGTGACATCATGGTTCATAGGTTGAGCTCAACCACTGAGCCACGCCACCCTGGCAGACGTGTTATATCTATCCCCTGTGCCAGGCACAGTATTTGGCCTTTGATGGGCACTCAACAAATGATTGGGTGGACAAATGACTGAATCAGGGACTCCTCCATCTGTAGCTATTCCTGTGTTTCTGTTGCTATAACCCCTTCCCTCTTTTGTAGGCCTTGAGGAAGGAGCTGAAGACCTGGAAAGTGGACGTTGTGCTCAATGATGGGGCCCCCAATGTCGGGGCTAGCTGGGTCCATGACGCTTACTCACAAGGTGCCAGGGGCATGGAGATGGTGGAGGTGGGCATGCCCTGTCAGGCTGCATTGGTCCTCGGCTAATCCCCTCTCTCCCACAGCCCATTTGACACTGATGGCTCTCCGTCTGGCATGTGATTTCCTGGCCCGTGGTGGCTGCTTCATCACAAAGGTTTTCCGTTCCCGTGACTATCAGCCCCTGCTATGGATCTTCCAGCAGCTGTTCCGCCATGTCCAGGCCACCAAGCCCCAGGCCTCTCGCCATGAATCTGCAGAGATCTTTGTAGTCTGCCAGGGTGGGTGGGCATCACTTCTTTCTCTTGACTCGTTTCTTAACTACCAAAGCACACTTTTTTTTTTTTACACTTTCTTATATATCCTATCATCTTAGGATACCTGGCTCCTGACAAGGTTGACAGTAAATTCTTTGACCCAAAATTTGCCTTCAAGGAGGTTGAAGTTCAGGCCAAGACAGTTACTGAATTAGTGACTAAGAAGAAACCAAAGGTGTGTTTGAGTAATGTGGTCACTCTCAGGTCCTGGATCTCTGGGGAGATTGGGCCTGATGGGTCCAATAGACACCACATAAGGGACCACTCAACCTTCTTTATTTCCCTCCCTAAGGCTGAAGGCTATGCTGAGGGTGACCTCACTCTCTATCATCGTACCTCAGTCACTGACTTCCTCCGAGCTGCCAATCCGGTTGACTTCCTCTCCAAAGCCAGTGAAGTGAGTCCCAGACTTGGGAGAGGGTGAAGGGAACCCCGGAAACATGGCCTGAATGTTTCCCAACTCCTTTCCCTTCTTCCAAACAGATTTCACTAGATGATGAAGAGTTGGCACAGCATCCAGCTACCACTGAGGATATACGGGTGTGCTGTCAGGATATCAAAGTGCTGGGGCGCAAGGAGCTTAGGTATGATGTGAGGGTGGTGTAGGTGCCAAAGGCCTTTGAAGGCCATGATGTTGATCTCAGAACAGAATGCTGTTGTGCTAGAGGTTTGGGCTGGGAACCTGAGCCCTAGGATTTGTGACTCAAATAGGAAATTTGGGGTGTGGGCCTATGACAAAGGAGGGAAGCAGGGACAAAGGGAGATTGAAGGTCTGTAATGGTATTTCTGGAACAGGTCCCTACTGAACTGGAGAACGAAGCTTCGGCGATATGTAGCCAAGAAGCTGAAAGAGCAAGCAAAGGCGTTGGACATCAGGTGAGGAGGAGCTGAAGCACAGATGTTGACTGGGTGTTGGGGGCGGGGGCGTGTCTAGGAAATAACCAAACTCCTTGGGCTGTTTTGTCAGCCTCAGCTCAGGAGAGGAGGAGGAAGGTGATGAAGAGGACTCAACAGCTGGGACCCCGAGGCAGCTCTCCAAGGAGGAGGAAGAGGAGGAACAATTGAATCGGACCCTGGCAGAGATGAAGGCCCAGGAGGTGGCAGAATTAAAGAGGTGAGGAGAGCAGGGAAGAGTTTGGGGAACTGCCCCCCCTCACCTCCCACAGAGTTTCTGTGTGGGGATGGAGGAAGAGAATGAGGGAATGGTTGAGCAATTTTTCAGAGCTGGGCAGGTATAATTCCTCCAACTGTCCCCTCAGGAAGAAAAAGAAGTTGCTGCGTGAGCAGAGAAAGCAGCGGGAGCGTGTGGAGCTGAAGATGGATCTTCCCGGGGTTTCCATCGCAGATGAGGGGGAGACTGGCATGTTCTCCCTGCGCACCATCCGGGGTCACCAGGTGAGGCGGGTTGGAACAGTTTGAGGAGAACAGAGGATCTGTTTGTGTATTTGGAAGGGGGTCGGGGATTAAACATTTTCTTAAGTGTGCTGCATGATCACTGCTCATGGCTGCTGTGTCCACCCGTAAATATATGACTCGGTGAGGGGTGACTGGGAAAACAAGCAAGAGCCTTGTGTTTCAAAGGCCAGGAAGAAACATAAACATAACATGAAATTAGGAAGATTTGTGAATACTATAAGAATATTACATATGTGTATGTATCATATATAATACGTAAAAATAGAAGAACCAAGAGGCACTCTTTGCAAGAAGCTATTTCTGGTAGATGCAGCCAGGGTAACTGGGTTACCAGCACGGTGATGGAGGGCTTCCCTCGGAGGGGAGCAACGCTCCTCAGTTCACCGAGACCAAGGTAGCACCTTGGCGCACTTGGCTGCTGGATGGTGAATACAGGGAATTTGACTTTTAAATAAAAGCAGTGTCACAGGCAATTTGTGGCTTTTGTGTGGGAATGGGAACCAGGTCTTCTTTGTTGTACAGGAAAGTGTAGTGGTTCTGGAGCAGACTACCATTTATCCATGTTTTGCCTCAGTTCCCTCATCTGTAAAAGAGAATAATAGAACCTACCTACTAGGGCTTGGGGGTGAATAAAAATGTTGCCTGCGCTCCTTTATTCAGTGGAAACAAAATTCGTACATTATATCATTCTCAGAAAGTGATGGGGAACCTTTTTTTTTTGAGGTAATGTTTTTAAAGAAAATTAATGTGTTAGAATATTTTAAAATTTGATGCTATATAGGCTATGGATACTTTTCCATAAACCTATTTTTGCTACCATTGAAGATGAGACTGTTGAGTGGAACAGATGAGTGATCTGGTTTGGAATGGGATGGTTTTGACAGCCCCATCACTTCCATGTCTGTAAAAGGAGATAATGTGTTTGCTGAAACTAAGATAATGGACACAAAAAAGCAGTATGTTCTTTTAAGTACCCTCGATCTGTTTCTCTGTCAAACTTTAGTTGTTAGAGGAGGTAACACAAGGGGATATGAGTGCTGCAGACATGTTTCTGTCCGATCTGCCAAGAGATGACATCTATGTGTCAGATGGTGAGGATGATGATGATACATCTCTGGATAGTGACCTGGATCCAGAGGAGCTGGCAGGAGTCAGAGATCCTCAGAGTCTAAAGGACCAAAAGTGGTAAGGTGGGGGCTGGTCTGCAGGTGTTGCCAAAGGCATTGGGTGGGGAGGGGTGTGAGTTCTCCAGGGTACTGGCCCACTAACCCACTTTCCTTGGGGCTACAGTGTAC